TTTTTTTTTTTTTGAAACGATACATTTTATAACTCGAAAAACAATTTACAACCTAAGTTAAGAAACCTGATAAGGTCCCGAAGGACAAAGACTCGCACACAAAGTGCAAAGAACCATCTGAAGTAAAGCATAAAGTTCAACACCCCTTCAGCAAGCCAAGAGAGTAAGAGGGTTGAGCCTGTATGCCTTAAGAGCAAGCAAACTACTAAGAAAAGCTACTACCGCTGCCAAAGGCCTAGTTGCAGCTGCAAAACAAAGAACAAAGGGAAAGACCGAAAGAAACCCAAACTAAAACCAACTAAACTAAACAAAAACAAAGCAACTAAATCAACATTAAAAGCAACTACAAGGACAAGTGCTAGGATCTAAGCAATAAACACCAACACAGCCACTAAGAACAGGAGAACAGTAGAGCCTCTACCACAGCCTTCCATAACAGTATCCAACTATTCAACTCAGCCAATTGTCAACTTCTCAATATCAACACAGATCATGTATTTTTTTTATAACAGGACATCTAAGACTTATACTATTTAATCTTTGAATAAATGGGCTGTATAACTTAAGAAAATTATTTCCAATTATTAAATTTTGATCTCCTGCCCACGGTGGGCAGTGCCCACCACTTTATTTTATATGAAAAACGTATTCTGAGAATACGTTTTTTAATTAAATTAATTGAAAAACGTATTCTCAGAATATGTTTTTCATGTAAAATAAAGTGATGGGCACTGCCCACCGTGGGCAGGTGAGCGGGACTATCCAATTATTAGTGGTAATCATGTATTTTGTTTATAAACAAATGAAATCTTTTTCCTTCTATTAATAATACTAAATTTGTTGCTCTATAATCAATACTTATTGTCTTATTATTTGCAATTTTTACTATAATTGGTTTGTCTAATTTTTTCCAATATTTACAAGGTAATATGGTTTCTTTTGCTAGACATATAGTTGCTCCCGTGTCTATATATGCTAATAAGAATTTGTTAAATAATTTTACTTTTATAAATGAACTGTTTTTACTCATCTTTTGATTCAGATGATTCTAAATCACTATCTGTTTCTGACTCTAAATCATATATATCAAAGTCTAATAATTCTCCTTCTTCGTATTCTTCTTCTACAGGTTCATAACCTAAAGAAAATATCATTTTTAACTTCTTTTCTTTTTCTGGTATATTCTTAGGACATTCGTTTGCATAGTGTCCCATTTCTTGACATTTTCAACATCTACAATTCTTTTTTCCTTTAGGACAATATTTAGGCTTTTCTAAGTATTTTTCCTGTTTTCTAAACTTTCCTTTATATTTTGCTTTCCACGGTTTTCTAAATATTTTATATCTTCTTGGTCTATATTGTCTGTTAAGCTTATTGTATTTATAGTATGTTTTTCTTTTTATATGGTTTATAACAACCAATTCTTGTGGTACACTTTCTAATTGTTTACAACATCTTGAATCGACTTTAGTCATTTCATAGTGTTCTATTTTCCTTATACAAAGTTCATCTCTATATTCTTTTGCATATTTTTCTAAAATTACTAAAGTTTTTTCTTCTCTTGTTTCATTAATCTTCTTCTGAATATATTTATTCATTTCATATTTAAGTTTACTTTCAATTATTTCTATTAATCCTGATCGATCCTTAATTTTATAAAAATTTTCTCTTACTTGACAGAAGAAATTTTCGATATAACATATATTACATAACTTCATGTTAGTTAGAAATCTAACTACTTTATCTTTTTGTGTTTCTTTTGATTCTTGCCCTGTAATTCCTAAGAATTCTCTTAATAAATTTTTTGCTAATTCTCTTAAAGCTGCTATTTTATATTCTGCTCCTGTTTCTGAACCACTGGCTTCAAGATTAAGTAGGATTTGAGTATTTTCTAGATAATCAAATAATACTCCTGATGTTTTATACCTTATATAATTGAAAAAATCTGTAAATGTCATTCCATTTATCATTGAATCCTTAGTTTGTACTAGTAATTTTAATTGATTAGTCCAACTGACTATTAAATCTTCTGCATTGGTTGCACAATCTATATTTAGTATTCCATTAGATAAATTTCTTTCTTTTTCTAAATATGCTGGTGGTATATTTTTCTTAATTTTTTCTTGATGATAACTATAATAATTTCTGTATATAAAATCTCTAAAACTGCTTTCTACATAATTATTTTGTGAACTAGATGCTTCATTATTGTTCGTTCTGGGTCGCTTTGGCGATAATGGTGGCGTTGTGAGGTTTTTGATCAGACATATTGAATGTTGGTTCATCTTCATCTTCACTATCTATTCCATATATTATTCCTTGTTTATCCTCATCATCTATTTTTGCCATTCTAGTTTCTTCAATATTGCATTTTTCTAGTAATTGGGTTAATCTATCTATATCATCCATTAGAACTTGTTGGTGGTTCTATTTGAATTGATTTAAATAATTTTTTTCGTATTTTTTTTCATTTTGTTCTAAATCTTGTAGTTCTTATACTGATACTTTTATTTCTTCTAATTTTTTTAATGTTTCTGATTGAGTTTTCTTTATTATTTCTATAAGTATTCTTATTTGTTCAGAGACTCTTGGTGGTTCACTCATAAAGTTTCTAAGATATTTCTATTATTATTATTATTATTATTTATTTTTATTTTTAATTATTTGCCTTTTATGAAATTAATAGTATTTCTATTTACACTAATTTGCCCATAGCAAAATGATAATATAATAATAATTATTATTATTTATTTTTATTTTTAATTATTTGCCTTTTATGAAATTAATAGTATTTCTATTTACACTAATTTGCCCATAGCAAAATCATGTGTGGATATAGCAAGAAATTTCCACAAAATGGCCACATGTCTATGTTTTATTGGCTATTGCAAAAAATGGGTAGAACCCATACGGGTAGCATGAAATAATTCGTCCAGGAATTATACCGTTGTGGTACCACTGGCACATGACAGAAAGAGTAGTACCACGTTTTAAAAATTGTTGATGTGCGCGCGAGTGGCTGTTCTTCCGACTTCCATCTCAAATTATTATACTACCAAGATTTTTGTTATCTTATCTTAAAAATTTGGACAAAAAATTTGAAAATTTCTTCGTGTCAATACGTAGGTGAAGTTGATAATTAGGTAGCCGTGGTGTAGCCTATAAAAGGAGACGAGGGCTTTCCTCTGCAATTCACATCCTAATAGCCACATACCAATAAATATCTTTTCTCTACCCATCTGTCCAATATCATACAAAAGAGAATGAGGAGCACTCATCATTTGATCTCCCTCGCCTGCTTCCTCGCTGTCTCGTTGGCTGCTGCCCAAGCTCCGTCACCCGCCCCGATCCTTGACACCTCGGGACAAGAGCTGCTCACGGGAGTCCAATACCGCATCAGGTCCAGCCGCGGGGAAGTCGACATCAACGTGGACCGCAACTCTTCCTGCCCTCTTGACCTCTTCGCGGCCCCGAGAATACATGCCGGGCCGGGCCTCCCTGTTACCTTCCACCTGCCCCATGAGTCGGTAGCCGGGCTCCCCGTCCGCACCTTGACCGAGGTCAGCATCCAGTTCTCGACCGCCTCCGCCGACACGGCGTGCAACGACGGCGGCGTCTGGACAGTCCGCTTCGATGCGAGCCTCCGGGGCTTCGGATTCACGACGGGGGGCAACATTTGGGCCGCGAACAGCCTGTTCACGATCCAGACGGCCTGGGGATCAAATGGGATCGTGTACTGTCCCAGGAATGACTGCCCCGGCGTGTGTGGGTTCCTGACCATCTCATTTCAAGGCCGCGTGAGCGTGACCCTGTCCGAGGCTGAGGGGTTCTTGCCTGTGGTCTTCGAGAGAGTGGAAGCTGATGACATCGCCATCATTAAGATGAGTACTGATAAATTAAATCAGGCGGGCCGGGCGCTGAAATAAATTTAAAACTGAATGGTGGCCAGCATTACTACTTTGTTGTTAAATTGTGAAAGTTGAATATGTATAAATAATCCGTACGCAGTTGCTCTGTGTGCGTGGGTTTGAGTTTGGGGAATTAAATGCTGTAACTTCCACCAATAAATGAATTCAGTTAATCTATTCTTTTGGTGCCAAATGAAGGGGAAATTCTACTTTGTAGCATTTGACCTTTTTTTTTTTTGTTGAAACAATATATTTTATTGGGAAATGCTACAGTCCCGTTACGGAACCATTTCGTCGGGATTTATAATCGTTAGATCATCATGTAACCATCGAGTATAGTTGATTTAACGGTTACAAACCTCGACGGAATATTTCCGTAAGGGGACCGTAGAATCTCCCTATTTTATAACTCGAAAAAGAATTTACAACCCATGTTAAGAAACCTGATAAGGGTCCCGAAGGACAAAGACTCGCACACAAAGTGCACAGAACCACCTATATTAAAGCATAAAGTAACACCCCTTCAGCAAGCCAAGGAGTAAGATGGTTGAGCCTATATGCCTTAAGAGCAAGCAAACTACTAAGAAAAGCTACTACCACTGCCAAAGGCCTAGTTGCAGCTGCAAAACAAAGAACAAAGGGAAAGACTGAAAGAAACCCAAACTAAAACCAACTAAACTAAACAAAAACAACGGAAAATTCAACTTAAATCCGACTCGCACACAAAGTGCACAGAACCACCTATATTAAAGCATAAAGTAACACCCCTTCAGCAAGCCAAGGAGTAAGATGGTTGAGCCTATATGCCTTAAGAGCAAGCAAACTACTAAGAAAAGCTACTACCACTGCCAAAGGCCTAGTTGCAGCTGCAAAACAAAGAACAAAGGGAAAGACTGAAAGAAACCCAAACTAAAACCGACTAAACTAAACAAAAACAACGGAAAATTCAACTTAAATTCGACTCGCACACAAAGTGCACAGAACCACCTATATTAAAGCATAAAGTAACACCCCTTCAGCAAGCCAAGGAGTAAGATGGTTGAGCCTATATGCCTTAAGAGCAAGCAAACTACTAAGAAAAGCTACTACCACTGCCAAAGGCCTAGTTGCAGCTGCAAAACAAAGAACAAAGGGAAAGACTGAAAGAAACCCAAACTAAAACCAACTAAACTAAACAAAAATAACGGAAAATTCAACTTAAATCCCTGCTCCTACTTTCAACTTCCAAATCACTCCCTAAGTTAATTTTTATCCACTGCACTTCCTCCTACAACTTTTCACTTTCCTATCCACTCCCCATATATATACTAGTATTATTATTTTTCATTTAATTTGCTCAGGAAAAACTCTCCTCAATTCCCGTCAATCTCTCTCTCAATTTCTATCCAGGAGTCTCTCTCTAACTACAGATCCGAAAAAAAATTCGAACACTCTTAGATCTGAAAAAAAAAATTGGTGTCTTTAGATGTTAACAACACAGATAACTGTATCTGTCAGATCGAGGAAGGCGTCGGCTACGTGGGAGAGCTATGACGAGTCGTTGCCGCAGCTGTTCCCGGAGTTCCGACGCAACTATTCTGGCGATGAGCTTTCGCGGGGATGAACAGACGAAAAGCAAATTAGTGATGCTTATGAGATCAGCCTGACTATAGCGAGGTGCTCAAAGCCCTCTGTAAGGTGAATTTTTTGAATTTGGGGATTCTTTTGCTCAAGCAAGTTAAATTTTTATTTTTTTTTTTAATTTGGGAATGGCTTTGTTGTTAGCAGTGGGGGATATTTGAAGCACAAGTGCTTTTATTTGTTTGTTATTTTTTTTTAATATGTGTATGTTGATTGGATCTGTGTGTTTAGTAAATGAATTCTTCTAAAAAAATTTAGAAGAAAAAAAAAAGAAAAAAGGAGAAATCCAACTTTCAGATAAATAAGTCATAGAGGAGGAAGATTAGCATGGGTTTCTTGAGTATTTACTTTTGCTGGAAAAAATAGTCCAACTGAAGTGAACATAGATGGTCTCCTTTTATTTTCCCCCATAATTTATAATTAATTTCATGGACTCGTGTAGATAATGACAAAAGCCTGACTAATTTGGAATATGTGATATTCTTCTTCTTCTTCTTGAAGAGATGTTTCTATTT